CCCTCGCAATGAGTTTTCCGGCGGTCAGAGGAGTGATGCCCTCCATACATGGTATTTGAATAGTCAATTTAATTATGAGCACCTCCGTATGCCCTTTCCTTACCTAGACGTGGGGAGACACACATCAATAGCATCCTAGGCCATGGAGGAAAGGGAGCCGCCAAAACCGCTCCGGTTGACCTACTTAGGATTTAAGTTACTTTATCTCGAGGTTAAAATATAAGCTAATAACACGAAAATTATTTTACACATTCACGCTGGTCTATAGTGGACATGAGTACCATCGACAGAGCCAGTGACGAGCCTCTGAATAGCGTGGGTAATATTTTGGGGCTCCAACACCCCAACTAGATACGCACGCAGGTACACGCAACAACGCACGCACATGCACGCACCTGCACGCAACACACACGCAACATGCACGCAACATGCACGCAACACGCTCGCAAATGCACGCAACACGCACGCAGATGCACGCACTGCACGCACCTGCACGCAACATGCACGCAAGTGGCACGCAGAAAAACCAGTGCCCCCACGAGCCCAAGCCCATGTCAGGCCTCCTCCGTACTTACCCTCATCCTCGGTTCTGTACTCCCTACGAATGTCGACCCCCGCCACCTGCCAAACGCACGCTCGGACCCAGGACTCCACCCAAATCACCCTGAAGCGCAAGCACGAGCAAGGAACTTGCAACATGTCGCTGCCCAATTCTGCTCGATCTCTCCGTTTTCAGATGAGGTTCGCGTCGCAATATCGACCTGCCAACTCTCCATGCGCTCGCAGCGGGCAGAAGGTGTCTTTGTCACCACCTTAAAGCAAAACGACATCTTTTTGCTCGCGAGTGTTTTAGGTATGGCCGGAGGTTGGCGACATATGGGCATAGGCTGCTGCCGTGAGTGTCCTTGATCTCGTGTTCATGCCGTGTTATCCGCGGTGCTGCGTTTGATTTTATCACCGTCGTCATCGATTCGCACAATTGTTACGCGTTACTTGTCATCGGCTTTCTTTCTTGTCCTTCTTGTCCTTACCTCTCCTCAACAATCAACTCATCACCTTCCGATTCTTGCTAGGCTCCTAGTCTTCATGCATGGCCAGCTCGATCTGCACTTGGAGATCTTGCACTCTGCTCCGCGTATAGGATTGACATGGAGGCCTCATCGTGTCGAGTACGTGCTCGCTCTCCTTCGTCGCGGAGCATTTTAGTTGAACAAAATCGTTGAACAGACGTCGGAATGGCCAGTGGACATCATCCAGATGAACCTAACATTGCTACGACGCGGCAGCTCCAGGGAAGTTCGAGTCGGGGGAGGCCTTGGGCTAAGCGATAGGTGCGTTCATCTAGTTCTGCCACCTGTCTGATTCCAGACACTAAGAAATGCTCCCAAGGAATCGTAAACTAGCGTCTTAACCCAACCTGGCCCATCTCACCCCTTGTGCCTCTTTTCCATGAACTCCCACACACTCCTATCGACGCAACCTCCGCCCCTAAGGCTCCAACCTCTTGTCCCAGCGCCGCTCTCGCCCGAACAGCCCCGTGGATTGGCTTGGTACGAATAGGACGACGCGGATCAGGCACGCGAGGATTTGGGCGAGGCTGCGGCTCGTACCCCCGGCCGTAAGGAATCGAAGAATAGTGGAGGACTACGAGGTCTTCAGCTCGCTGGGGTTGATGTCAGCGTGGTCGAGGACGTTGGTACGGACGTGCAGTTATTATCAGGTCTTGCTAGGATTTAATTTGCAATGTCGTGGATTTCGAGGTGTACAGACATGTACTGTCCCGACACAAATGCATTGTCCTTTCAACCTCTTTTTTCCATCGTTTTCCACATGCTCATCTCAAAGATGCGCCTTGAAGAATTCCGCTGGAGAGCATCCCATCAGCTCCAGAGTCACAGACGACGGAGCAGGCAAAGAAAAGGCTTAACAGTACTCACATAGGGACAGCGCGGATCGTTTGAACGTCCTTTCGAGAGTCGTGTAGTTAACGTGCTGGATGCCGAACCTATACAACAGTTAAAAAAGAATCAACCAAGAAGTTATTAATGGTCACGACGACGATAGAGAGACACGAACCTCGCAGTGAGTCCCGAATTCCATTCCGCGTTGTCGAGCATCGCTGGTTGAAATGGGCCAGGTTCCTTCAGAAGAGAAGTAGGGAAGCAGCATAGACGTACCCCACGCAATGAGACCTTTTATCGGCAATTTGTCTTCATGGATGGCTTTCAGAACCTCGCCAACGTACGTCATATAATAATCTATGCGAAGACGATGAGGCTGAAGATCGCTAGCCCTCAGGAAGGCATTCGACGTACTGGTTCGCGTTACATCCTCTGCAATACGGAAGACCTCCGTCCTCAGCTGCTCGAACGGCTCTATGAACCCAAATTCTGAAATATACTGCCACACCGTCCCAAAATGAGCATTACTCCTCAACGTTCGGCACCAGCAAAATCCACGAAAGCACCACCCACCATCTTATTCGTAGGCCACCTCCTCTGTAGCTCCCTAAAGAACGGCCTCATCAGCGTAGGCGTCGACTGGATCGACCCCGGGGCGCCATTCACGAGCCAATCCGCTGCAGGGCCGACGCTCCAGCCCGTCGTGGAGTTGAACTGCACCGCGATGTTACAGACCGGCCAGTTGGGGTGCGACGAGTTGGAGACGCAGGCGGCGAGACCGTCGGGTGGCGCACGCACGGGTTGTACGCGGTAGGCGTCGATGGCGAAGAAGTCGGCGGAGCCTAGGTGGTGGTAGATGGTTATTAAATCAATCTTGGGCGGAGGACGGACGAGAGAGGGTAAGACACACCGAGAATATCCTTCTTCTCTTCCTCCGTCAGTCGGGGTAGATACTCAGGCGGCAGGGTGTCCGTCAGTATCTTCGGCCAGTCGCCGGTCTTGAACACGGGGTCTGCGAAGATACCAATCTGGAATGTAGTGCGCCGCTCAGAGGCCTCAGTGTCTTCGGTGCTGTTTGTTCTCCAAGGAGGCCCACTGAATGAGGAGGAAAAGGAGAAAGAATTGAGTTCGGGACGGGGGGTTGAAGGACGAGAAGAGGAAGAAGAGGCCAGAGACGCACATGAAGTTCTCGCTCTTGAACGAGATCTCGCCTTCGATTCCCATCTCTCGGAATGCTGGAGGTTTTATTTGGAAGACGGTAAATCCTCGATGAAAGCAAAGAACGGAATTACGTACCTTTGACGGCGCCAGCATGTGCTCGAACTGCAATTCGTATCGCAAGGCAGAGTTAGCTCTATGCGCTGCTCCTGAATCATAACCAGAGATGACGTACGGATGTTGTAGATACAATAGAACGGCGCCGAAGACACGTTAAGTGGTGGTGGCAGAATGGCACCTGATGTTGAAAACCCACTGTGTCAGCAAAGAATTCAAGAAAGCGAAATGGATACGTGTTAGTTCGTACCGAACGTGAACTGATTACTCCCGAAGAAACCACAGAACCCTCGTGGTTCGTTGAACGTGAACCTGAGAATTCAGGGATTCGTATTTAGGTGAAGCATAACATTGTGAGGTCTGAAAAAGGACTGACCAGGTCTTGACACGGCCGTTGTATGCTTTAAACACAGTCTTTGAGTAGCTAGGAAGAATGATTAATCAGAAAGTAAAGAGACATTTTCTGTAGGGTTGACGCACTGTACGAAGTCGTCTACGCTCTCGGGTGCCATGAACCCGCCGTAATACGCGTGCAGCGCGAGTGGGGTGTCCCAATGGACTGTTAAGACGGGAAGTCAATGGATCAGGTAAACACTGAAATGGACAGGACCTACATAATGTCACGATCGGTTCAACGCCTGCCTGAAGGTGGTAGTCGATCACTGGAAGAGAAAAGAGGATGCTGAGGAATCTGAGCCATGAAGGTCATTCGAGGAACATGGGCATACCATCAGAGTAATGGTCGAGGCCAGCTTGATTTAGAGGAGAGTCGGCAGTGCCGAAGGGGAAGATCCGCGCCCAGGATACCCTAAGCAAAAAGACAGTGGGGCGTAAATGGAGCCGTTCTTGAGCAAAAAAGGGTATGGGCACGTACGAGAACGAGTGTGCGTTGACGCCCAGCGCAGCCACGCGTTCGACGTCTTCCTTGTACAAGTAGTACTGCAAATCCACAACATCACCTGTTCCAAGCACCATTCACGGAGTTAGCACCACAAACTTAGCAATAAGTTGAATGTCACCACGTACCGGTCGACCCATCCGGCACACCCCCAGGCTGTCGACTGTTCCAATCCCATATACTCGGGCCCTTCCCATCCGCTTTCGCCGCCCCTTCGACTTGGAACGCAGCCGTCGCCACGCCAAACACAAATCCCTCAGGAAACTTGAGGTTGGGCAGCAGGTTAGCTGGCCGGGGTGAGAACCACTCGGGATATAGGGCAGGTGGTGTGGGCACGGGGATAGGTGTCTGTGGGATGCGGGTCGTTGTGAGTGGGGGTGGGGACACGGGGCATCCGACCTTTGTGAGGTTGTGAGAAACGTAGGAGGGATGGATCTAGGATGGGGAGAACTTACCAAGTCCCATATTTTCTCTAAGCCGGCAGCTGAGTAATCTCTAGGGACTGAACCAACGGGTGGAAAGGTTGGTCGATTTGTGGGTGTTGTTGCTGGCTTCGAGGAAGTTGCAGGAGACGGAGGGCTTGACACCAATGTTGAGGACGAGATATCCGTTGTCGACGAGACGGAGTGCACAGACCCAAAAATGCTAAGAAAACAGACCAAATTGAGGGATTTCGTTATGAGCATTATTGGTGCGAAGTGGATTCCAGACAGTCGATTCCTCGTTCTCATTATTTATAGCACAAAGAAGACCTTTGTTGCATAGACGAGAACCACATGTGATGATGCCGGACCGCAATAGAAATGGGAAGATCTACGAACAAACGATGTCGTGGGCCAGTTTGGGGACATTGCAGGCCATTGTGATGCGGAGAAGCTTCTTTCCGTCGAGCAACGAACATCCTCAGAACGATAAGATATTGCATGTGACCATGGCGGGCCGAAGGTGTTTCCAGTAGTATGTAGCGATTGCGAGGAATAGCGCAGTCGGGGCGTCTTCAGAAGCTCGAAGGATGCCCCGCAAAAAGAGACCTAGGCAATTCTCAATGATCGAGGTTTCGTATGTAGTGGTGAAAGACTTCCCACCTGTCTAATGCGCCGTTTTGGAGCTCTGTAATATCCGCGAGGATAAATTGAGGAAGTGAAAAGAAAAAAGTGGATCCCAGATTGTAGTCGATAGCTGGAAAAGAACGACTCGAATGAGAAACGGACAAACTGGCGGTCGGAAAGGGGTGGGACCAAATTAGGTAAGTAGTGCCGGATTTTGCAGCGGGTGGCCCGGGCCGTCCAGACTTCGACAGAACGCCAACACGGTTCCTACGGAATCAGTCATGCAGTTACGTCTCACTTCTCCAGTTACTCTCTCGTTGCTCTCGTCTATCTGGATTCCCTCTCTTGAACTCGTTTTAGGCTCATCCTTATCTTTGGACTAGGCAGAGGACCATATCGCCTTGTGTTGGATCTCCGTTCGACTGTCGTCACCCGGCGCACAGCATCCACCATCCACCATCCATTAACGACGAGCGCAGAGATTGCGGAACAGTGATCAACAGCGCTCAAAGTTGTCATCTACATTTATCATTCTCTGCTGTGAAGTGAAGTTCTTTGTAGACCGATGATTCCACCCTTCTCATCACTGTTTGAGGTCCACCGACAACTCGGGATGTTCAATTTCTCCCACCAACACGACGAACAGTGGAAAATGGAAAAAAAAAATGTTATAGGATATTCGGGGTTATAGGTGCTGTCCAGTGCGCCTGCTTGTTCGTTGTCAGTAGCGCTGAAGCCAAAATCCCGAGTGCTATTCTGGTTTCGACCAGCGTTACGCCGGTCCCTTTCTCAAGCCTCAGTTTTAGAGCCCCGCTCTTGATATCTCGTGTCGAAGACAAGCCATCCATTGCGTCCAAGTCATTGACGGTCTTTGTCCTGGAGGACCTACGTCCCATGATCAACACATCTGTTCTGAATTATCGACCGTAGTAAGCCAGCCCTGCGCCTCTCGTCCCATCCGCGGTGCGAGCTGACTATCGTGACGACAGAACAGAAAGTGAGAAAAGATTGCTGGCTTGCCTGTCACGATGGACGCCGCTATGAAAAGATATTTTGCTCAGTTGCTTGATGACTTAAAGTCGGCTTGGCCTCACTCTATTTCTCACTCAGGCTCAAACGAGAAAGGCGGATGGACGGTACATTTACTACGCACTGTACATTGGGTTCAGTTACACATTTACAGCTACAATTGTGATACACTGCGACGATTAAATACTCCGTTATAAATTAATCGAGCTCGTCGTACTCGGGGTAGCTGAATTCTCGTGCGTACATCTGTAGACGAACGTCAGCACCTGCAACGAAAGAAACTAGACCGAGAAGATACTCACCTCGCCCTCGTCCTCACGGATGAAGTGGCTAGCGACCTTTCCAGCTCCTCTCAGTATCTTGCCGAAGGAGAACTTGGGGTCGCGGGCGTCGAGGTCCTCGCCATCGAGTTCTCGGACGTAGTAGAGGTTTCCGTCTGTGTCCTCGCGAATGAAGTGGCTGGCGACCTTCCCGGCACCTCTGATGATCTTTCCGAAGGAAAACTTGGGGTCGCGGGCTGCCAGCTCCTCGAGCTCGTCCTCACGAATAAAGTGGCTGGCGACCTTTCCAGCTCCTCTCAGTATCTTGCCAAATGAGAACTTTGGGTCGCGAGCGTCCAACTCCTCGCCGTCAAGTTCGCGGACGTAGTACAGGTTTCCGTCTGTGTCCTCGCGGATGAAGTGGCTGGCGACCCTGCCAGCTCCTTTGAGGATCTTGCCGAAGGAAAACTTGGGGTCGCGCGCTGCCAGCTCCTCGAGCTCGTCCTCACGGATGAAGTGGCTGGCGACCTTCCCGGCGCCTCTGAGGATCTTGCCGAAGGAGAACTTGGGGTCGCGAGCGTCGAGGTCCATGACATCGTCGTAGTCGCGAGCCTCAAGTGAGGGCTCTTCCTCACGGATGAAGGTCTTGACGACCTTGCCTGCACCTTTGAGGAGCTTGCCGAAGCTGAATTTGGGGTCGCGGGCGTCGAGGCTACAGCAGAGGAGTCATCAGATAAAGTATTCCAAAATGAAGTGAAAAGACGTACGCGGCTTCCTGCTCAAACGGCGTCGGAGCAGAGAACGCGGGGGCCACAGCGGCGGCGACGAGAATGGCGGTGGTAAGTTGAACCATTGTTGTTATAGTCGGTTAGATAGGTGTGGTGAGAAGGGAAAAATCGGTTTTGTCGAGGGGTGGAGGGCGTACAACGCTTTCTTTGTTCCAGAATTCTTGGATGAAGGTGAGGATGAGACCAGCTGAGGAAATTCCCATCGCTATTTTGAGGTTTTTATACCCCTCAGGCGGCCTGGTGAAAGAGACTTGGCCGGAGCTGACTGCAGCTTCTATTCTTAGGCTGACATCCCAAGCCGTTCCAGCGAGACATGAGCGCACCTCTGGCAAGTTTTATTGTTACTGACAGTTCGTGGAGAAGCTGATATCCAAAGTTGACCCACCAGCTATCGTGGGCGTCCCCTAGGACATTCGTCGAGACCATCAAACGACGTGCTTAACTGAGGTTCTTGCTCTGCGCTTTCACTGTTCATGGCGGTGGCCCGACGACCGAACTGGGTGACTTTTTAGATCATTGATATTTTTTTGATATTGATTCTGGTCTCAAGATTGTCAAGATTAGCAAACGAGTCATGAAGATATGGTGAGGTCTCTTACTATGCCGCCCGTGAAATCTCCTATTTTTCATCTTCTTATCCAATCATGGGCGTTCGCTCGGCGACGGAACGAAACTTGCTGACTTCAGTTCCCAGGAGCCGACGACGTGCGGAGAAGAAGTTGTTCTTGGATCGATGATGGTCATTCTTGCTTGATTGACAGTTGGGATACCTGGCGTATGCTTGGAGCTACATCTCAGGCTAAGAACATGGAAAGACGACGGCTTCGATGGCATTGTGCACAGGCCGTCGCTTGTCCCATAATTGACGGAGGCCCTGTAATCTTGTTCCCGAAGGCCGAGCGGATGGCGTCCGAACTCGTGGCAGTGGATGGGAGAGGAATGTCTGGTTGCTGTTCAGTTTTTCAGTGGGTTGCAGCGATGTCGAATGCCCATAGGTATGAACAGAGCCAGAAAGGATTCGTGATAGGCTAGTGCTGGGAGGGGGTGTCGGTGAGGAGCAGTGCGAACCATCGATCGGTCTGTCACATATGCAGGCAACGAGCCAGCGATTTTCCAGATACGAAAATAGTACTCGAGTGCTGTGAAAACATATCCAAGACGGCGATGAGCTTGATGTCTCGTGTTAGAGCGTGATCATGAACGAAAGGTAAATGTCATGAACACCACCTTGTGTCTGTCATGTGCGACGGATTTACCTCAAGACTCCGAAATCTGAGAGCGATCTTTGGCGCTGCCTCGGCGCAACAATATATGGAGACCTCGGAGAGACAGGCAAAGTAGGCGTTGGCAATTTATTTCTCTCCGGATGCAAAGCAACCAAGGTTTCGGCAAATCCCGATGGCCCTATCCTCCCTTGCTCGTCCTCGGCCGTGTTAGCGGCATTCGTCATTTGCGCGCTGTTCTGCTCGAAACCCCACCCCACCCCATCCAGACGTGACACGACATCTGTGAGGAGCCATAATTCCGAGGAGGGGGGAGTTGACATGAGGGAAACGAGAGGCGGCGGCAAGCGTTGGTGGGAAGTCAGGCGAAGGCGAATACCCGAATGCCTATTGAGCGATGGGCGAGGCGAGAACGATGGGTGGAGGACCAACGACGGCAGGAAGGGTCGACGACGCAGGTGTAGGTGAGTCGAGGGGGTATTTGGGCGCCGCCCACATCCCTATTGAAGGGGAGGGGCACGAGAGACGTAGAAAACGAACGTCGACTTCAAGTCAACGTTCGTGGCCTAATATCAAAGTAAAATACTTGTTAGTGTGCATATACATGAATAGAACATGCCACTTACCCCTTTTTCCGGCCCTGGGCCGTCGTTTGACGTGCTGGACGACGAGGCGAGTCGCCGGGTGATTGAGGATGAGAATCAAGACGAGCGTCATCATCGGGAAGGTGGGCTCTCCATAAAGATTCAAAGTCCTCTGAATGTCGAGAACGTCCTATGCTACGAGATGCATGCTAATAGGTTGCAATATTGTTGACAAAGAGAGGGCAGTCAGAACAAATGCTAACGAGAATGAGCGCAAGACGAAAGCCTGGGATGACCAATGGCCGAGCCTGTCGGCTATTTCCGTACTTTGTGCACGCCTTGCTCATTCTCCACCTTAAGCTTAAGCTTCATCAACACCCATCATCTCGCCGGCCATTCGTCACTCGCGCTCGTTTCTACGCCAGCTGTCACTCGCCAATCGCTCGACATTCATTCTCAACATCTTAGGTCCTCATGTGTCTTGTCATTCCCTCTTTCTACCGCCATTCGTCTCGTGCATATTCGTCTCATACATGCCCGTCTCATTCCATTTCAACCACCCCAAACGAGCCGTCGTTTTCCATCTCTGTCAGTCGTCAATCGCTCTCACCGCCATCTCGAATGTTGGGAAGACAACTTGGTCATCGTCAGTCATAGTTTAGCCGTTCATTAGCCCCAGTGCCGATGAACCAAAGTGGAAGTTGGCACCTGCGTCCAGCCGAGCGAAAGCTAGAGGGGCGATCTTTCCCACGTTACGTTCTTGCTTCCACCACTTTCCATTGCTCGAAGTCGCGGCGCGCTCATCTCGAGAGCCGCCGACTTCTCGCAAACACTCGTTACTCGTCCTCCCCCCTTTTCAAACTCCTAGCATGACCAACAATCACGCTCATTTAGGCCTTAACCTTCCAGGCACCAGCCAGAATCATCGCAATACACAACAGACCAGACCGGCAGAACCCCCTCAACATCTCCCCACTCCTACACCAACGCAGAGTTCACCAGGGACGACTGCAGGGTCATCCTCCGCTCACACTATGCACCACGATTCCACTCAGAACCCGCCGGCGAACCGTATGGCACACAACGAGGATGCACAGCGACTCCGAGCCTTTCAAGAGGAGAATGCTCGATTAAGAGCAGAAGTCGAGGCTCTCCGCAATGCATCGAATCCCCGCGTCAACCCCGCCGAACAGCAGCACCCACAGCAACACCCACCTCCCCAAGTGATAGAAGCAGCATCCGATTTACGTGCCCCTCAGCAAGTCGAGGCCGGGGCAGCAGCAGCGGCAGCTACCATCAACCAAGCACCCACTCGCCAAGCCTTATACGAAGATGAGGCGACGGTGGCACGCATTCGCGAATCGCTGGCTGCCCGGAAGGAGGAGGAGGACGCCCGAAAGCCCCAATTGCCGGACATCATCCCGGGCTTCAAGGCAAATGCCCTTAACTTAGGTGAGTTTTATGCTCTCTTTCTTCGTCGTCGCAGCGTCCGCTACCCAGTAAAGCTGGGCCGTTCGCACAGAGCAATAGGCTCGCTTCGTTGCCACATCTATTCGGTGGCCCGTCGTCGTCTTGCTCGCAGACCCTTACTTTCGCGGAGGGCATGCTGAGGCCGTAACTCTGCTCGGGTACGGTGCATTGACACCATTCCACCCTCCTCGTTTTTCGTGCCATTCATTTTCACTGATTGGCAGCTCGCTCACATGCCCACCTCTCGTAGCCGTCCCACCAAAAGTT